CCGACTCGGCGTACCCGGGATATTTACCGTAGCCTCGAAAGACTTTCCATCATGTTTTTACCTTTTTAAAAATTCATGATACTAATGCACCCACACATGCACCCTTCTACTTACCCTTCTCTCATCCTCCCACCCAATGATTCACATAAGCAAGCAAGAGTACATAGAAAATACACATAAAGTTTCTTAATGGGAAAGTCCGATATCCTCATTGGTGGCGGAACCCTTCGACTAGGAACGTGTTTAACAGTTATAATACTAAAGTAAATATCTCACGATCCTAAAGATCAATTACTAGTACTTGTAATAACTGTAAGGACTATATCTATGTTTGAGACAAAGGGACAAAGATATAGAATGCCCATGTGTTTTTATCATAAATACGAAAAATGATTATTTATTATAAGAATAAATTGAAATACCACAGCCACAAGTTCGCTTGTTGGTCACCTACTCTAACAAAAATAACGAGAGGATACAACACTTAGTATAGGTCAAGTGGTCAAGTATTGGCTCTTGATGCGAATTGAAAGAATTGAATGCATCTGAATTGGTGCGGATGAATATAAATAAATATAAAATCAGAGATTTCTTTCAAAGAAACAAAAACTTGTGTTGAAAAAGATTATACAGCGAAATATAAATGACACGAGTTTTAAATCATTATCCATAAGTATATAACTTGTGGATGGTTCCTTCATAGGCAAAAGACACTATTCAAAAGAATACAAATGAGAAGTCAAGATCTTCTCTTCTAATAAAAAATCACAGGATGATTTCTTCGTAAACCAATTCAATTCCTAGATTGTATGTCAATATTGCTTAACAGCTCTCTACAAATACAAATCAGTATTCCAAAGAATACAAATGAGAAGCAAAGATCTTCTCTTCTTAGAAGAAAATGACAAGTTGATTTCTTCGTAAACCAATTCTAGAATCTATGATGATGTTACATAACATCACTCTAGGATTGCAAAATAGTATTAAATGATATTCAATACAAAACAGACTCAATTTTGTAGTGGCAAATCTATAAAGAAAACAGGGTGTTGGAAAAAAAATTCCAACACCCGCAGCTCTGTGCTCTCAACTTTCTACAAAAAATGTGAAAAATGAATTGAGTTCTTTTACTATTTATACAGTCTGAGAGCTTCTTGGCCTGTACAAAATAAACACACTAGGAGAGATTATGGGTTAGTCGATTGATTAAACATGTGCTTAAATAATTACCTACTAAGCTAAAAATAACCGCCACTAACTATAAATAATAAATCCGAATTAAAATAATAAATCCAATAATAATAGTAAATTCGGAAATAATAAAAAATTATTTAAGAAAGTGAAAACAATCAAATTTTATTTGACTCAAAAGTCAAATATTTAACAGTGCCTTAGTAACGGTTTTAGACCTTGATGTACACGCAACGACCCTATATGTTTCATGCTCGCCGTTTTTTTTTATTGTGGGGTCTCACTAGTCGCCGCCTAACTTTGGCCTTCTACTCGGCTAGTACAAGGACAATCATTTTTTTTGTGCTTCGGTATTTACATACGAGAGAAAATTAACGAAAACAAACCACATATTAATAATCAAAGGCAATCAACTTTCATAACACCGGATACCAACAATTTTGAATTAAACATAGGCATATCTCTATCAAAATGTCAATAAATTATTCCCGCAAACTTAAGAAAACTATACTCACCAAAAAGCATGAATTTTAAAAGCACTTTTGGTTTGCTAATTTTATCGAACATTTGACATGCATACATACACAAATTTATATCTAACATGCTTGAGAAACCTCATTAATAATCCACAGTCACCATCATCAACATGCATTACTCTCTAACTTCACCACAAGAACAATCAAATAGGATAAACAAATTTTACTTCAACTCGTAACCCATGAAGCAAATAAGCAATTATCAAATTAATTTCGTCGATAAAGAAATTGTTGCCTATTTTGCATTTTCTTATAGTGATAGCATAATAACATAAAATAGATAGGGATCATGGGAGTTTTTAAATACACCCTACTTATGTTATTTGGATAGATTCAAGCTATTTCATTACCCTAAGCAAGCTAATAAGAGAATGAAAAATAAAGAGAAACACTTACCGAATTTATGAAAAACGGGTTACGGCAGTTTTTGGTTGTCATTCGTGGGTGATACAGATAAGTGGACCAGGCCCACTAACCATTGCATTAAAATGGGCCAAGATACCAACAAAATGGGCCTATTAATTATCTGCTCATGTGGGCCGAAAATAAAAAATCTAATAGTCCACCGGAACGAGGACTAGAGCCCACTATATCAGTTCAAGGACCTAACTAGAGTCTTAAATATAAGTTCAAATAGATTTATATGCTAATTAGGAGTTTAGTATGAATTAAATAGAAATAACACCTGAACCTCATTGAAAAGGTACGTTCTAAAAAATCTCTTGAGTCCTATTGATCTTGTGCTCTCTACCCTATTTTTTATGCTAGCGTTTGACTGGATCGTTGGAGTTTCCGCCGGATCAACCCCTGGCTTAGTTCACTTGCTTTGGTTTTACAAGTTTGATAATCAAGTCTTCCTCTGTAGATGACTGGATCATCTGCTCGCGCACAACAAATATGCCCCATGTTCCTGTACCAATTTATCAAGATAACTCTTTACGTCATCATTCTGGCGCCGTCTATAAGAATGCCAACCATGTCATCGCGACGTAGACATAATCCAGATAATCACGCAAACGCTACCTCCGCCGTAACCAACCGGATGAGGAATCCTCCACCACCCCATTCTGGGGAAATCGAGCGCCGCTAAATAACATCGCAGCCCCTTCGCCTACACAAGACAACATCGCTGCCCCTTCGTTTCCACTAGACAATAACAGTGCACCTCCGCCACCACAAGATAACGTTAGCCGAGCCCCTCAACGCACCGTCCAGTTGACGAAGGCTTTAAAACTAATGCTCGAAGAGGTCCCTCTAAACCTAATTTCTAATTGTATCCCAACTTAACTTCAATTTCAACAATTTTGACCACAAAAATTAAATTTTGGCATTTTCTTTTTGTAGTTTTTTTACCGTTGGGTTTTCGGCGTTGACTTTCTTTCCCCTCCTATCTGCTTTCCTGCTGTCGGTTTTTGGCGTTGATTTTTTTTAGATTTTTTTTTCTTCACTTTTATACGTCGTTGTTTTCCGGAGTTGATCTGGTCAATGCCGATCTCTAGCGTTGACTTTATTTTTCCTGTAAATTTGTATCCATTTTTTTTTTCGCCCGACGCTGAACCTTGACCGTAATTGTACTATCATTGACAGTAATTGTACTGTCGTTGACAGTACAATTACTATAAACACAATAATATTATTGTCAACTACATCAACATTATTATTCTTTTGACTTTTTTATTTTGTTTGATATGTTGACTAGTCAGCGAAATAACATTATTGTCGTTGCCGGTAAAATTACTATAAACACAGAAATATATATTATTGTCAACAACATCAATATTTATTTTTTGTCTTTTTATTTTGATTGATTTGTTAACCGGTTAACGTAATAGTATTACTATCTACTATAGTAATATTATTATAAACATACTAGTATTACTCTGGTTGACGGTAATATTACTGTCGTTACAGTAATAATATTACGGTTGTTCACAACAATGTTTTGAATCCCGGACGAGACCGGCCTGTTCGACCGGTTCAACCGCGAACCGCTGCCTTGTCTGGTCTGTTTGGCTTCACAGGCGCGAATTTCAAAACACCGGTTTAATTGATAAAACCTGGTTTTTTGGCCCGTCGGATCGCGAACCCAGAACCCAGATAAAATTTTGTTTTTTTAGAAATCATTTTTAGATTAAATTAGCAAAAGAGTGGAGGGAGAAGAAAAAATCAACAATAAAAGAAAACCTAGTCAAAACCCCGTTGTTGGACGATGAAAAGGGCTTTAACGGGACACTGGCGCTAGTGCTCGAGCTGTGTCTTGAGCTGAGATCTTCAATGGTGGCTTGATGGGTTAATGGGTGGTAATGATTGGAGAAAAAAAAGGAAAAGGAAAACGATTACAGTAAAAAGAGAAGAAATAAGGTGTTGGTGTTTGGGAATTGAGGTTAGTGGCTCGGTGCAGTACCCTACTATTTAGTGAGATGAGTATTTTTTTAGGGTTTTTTGGTTTAAAATCCTTTTGCCTTTTAACTTTCATTTATCTCCCCACTTCAATTAAAGTATAATAAACTCCCTATATTATTGATTCTATACACTTACCTCCCACCTTGATGTGAAAAGATTGTATTGGCCCTCACTCTAAAAGAAAACGACAACTTAAACAAGAATTGTCTCTCTTATCAAATTCCTCTCTCTCACCGATCTAGTAATTCGCGCTCAACACAACAGAAGAACCAAAATTTTTACCCTTTCTTCTTCAGTCGAAGGTTTCATCTCTTCTCAACTAAATTCTTCCATAGTCAAGAACACTTCAAGAAAACGGAAATACCCAATTATTTGGTGTGGTATTCGCTCTCAAAGTAGAAAAGGACTGAGGGGAAAAACGAAAAAAATGCAAAAGCAAAGATATCAGATTTCTCATGTTAGTTTTTTTTGTTTATGTTTTAGTTTTCAGGTTGGATTTCTAAAAAATAAAAATCCAATTTGAACCCAAATATTTTAAGCCTAAATTGTGTTTTCCTATTTGAGTTTGCAATAGCTCTATTTTTTTTTGAAAACTATGATTTTCAGTGGTTATTTGTTCGTATTTTATGCTTTGTAGTAATCTAGTTTATTGTTGTATGTATTTTGGTATTTAAAATCGGGCAAATTAGTACAATGCAATTTTTTTCTTAATATTTTGTCTTTTGTCATGTTTTGCAAGTAATATTAGTGCAGACTGAGAGAATGTTTAGTTAATTGCATTTTGTTTTATAATTTTAGGTTGTATGGTTGCGATGCTTGCTTAATATATTTTTTATATTAATAATCTTTGTTTGTTTGTTCACTTCAGAAATGGCCCCTAAGGAGTCAAAGAAGTGTGCGCTATATTCGCGTCGTTCTCCATCAAACTTAAAGAATACATTGGATCAAGTAAAAGCAAAGATGAACTGCACAACTGGAGGCCATCAAAAGCACTCTATTTGGGCTTTTTTTGAATAAGCCTAACCTCACTCATAGTTTTACTAAGGTTTTAGCTATTATGAGACATTTTTAGGTTAAGAAAATGTCTTTAAAGTATGGAGAAGATGTTGAGGTCCCTTTTGAAGCTTCTAAGTTCTCTATGGTGATGGGGTTGTGACATAAGGGGCACACTGTTGATTTAAAATTCAAGATAAAATCTTCGATTATTGATGATCTATTTTCCGGAAAAAAAATAAAACATTTTGCGGAATGAATTAGCTGACTGATTACTAGAATTAGCTTCGAGGGATGATTGTGTAGATGACTTATGTAGAATATACATTCTTTTTGTTTGTAATTGTGTATTATTTCCTCAAGGAAACTATTTAGAGGATTTGTCTGAATTATGTTCTTTTTCATGGGGAAAAGTTGTTTCTGATTACTTGATCGGCGAATTGAGGGCACATGTAAACCAAAAGAAGACGTACATCAATGGTTGCACCATTAATTAGTAAGTAATATATATTTTAATATAATTTTTTTTTTGTATTTTGATTCTTAATTTCCATAACCTATGCATTTTTATAAAACTGGCAGGCTTGGTTTTATGAAACGGTCCCCTTTATCGGGCACCGACAAGCTTGAGTCGATTTCCTCGATTTTTTTGGTGGGACAATAGCAAGACGGGACGAGAAGAATCTAAATTTCAAAATGCGCTTGATGAACTTACAACTGAAAAGGTAATAACTTGTTAGTACCACATGTTTGTTTTTTCTCTATTTAATGTAAAATTATGAAGTACATTGATATCTTTTTGTGTTAATTATTTGTTTACTTAAGTTGTTCTGTTTATTCCAAATCCCAAGAGAACTAGTTGATTGATCTTCCACCCACTTATTCAGATGATTGTACTAATAATGAATTTCCATCAGCTAATATCGGAGTAGAAGTTCTTCTCAAAGCTAGAGATGATGAAATTATAATTTTGAGGAAGAAAATTGAGGAGCTAAAAGCATTTCGTAAAACTAGAGATCACGAACTTGTATCTTTGAAGAATAAATCTGTGGATTTTGAAATGCAAAATGACCAATTTGTCAAGGAAGAAGAGTGCGATGGTATGAATATGAGGGATGATAACTTTTTGACAAGCACATCTGTAGGATTTTAAAACTTCCGTTGTTACAGTTTTATGACTTTATCTATACAAAATAGGAGCTGCAATGTGATATTTTCCGACTTTATTTGTACTTAATGCATATTAATTTTCATGTTTTATTTTATATAAAGGATTTTGTGAATCTAATCTCCGAATTTGGTGATATTCAAAAGAATAAAGAAGGGGAGGATAAAGAAGATAAAGAAGATGACGAGAGTAAAGGACAAAAAGAAGAGGACGAGCATGAAGAAGAGAAAGAAGAGAGAGGGATGGAAGAATGCAAAGAAGATGATGAGAATGAAGAAGATAATGAAAATGATGAAGGAGAAAAACAAGAGGGCGATAATGAAAAAGAGAAAGAAGAGGAGGAATCACTTAAGAAACAAGAAAAATACGGTCAAAAAGACGTTACGATTCCTCTATTGTTCGAAATGTTCAAAATAGAAATGATAGGAAAGAAAAAACGAGAGCGAAAGGTTTTGTTACTCCACCAGCACTAAGCACGTCGCCAAGAAAAAAAATTAGAGTCATTGCAAGAAAATATGGACGTGGAAGAAGAAAAAAACACCGCGAGGTAGCCGCGAAACTGTTATACAAGAAACACCACAAACGATATATATTTTTATACATTATTTTTTTTTGTATTGTTTCTTGAATATATAATTGTGCACCATTTGTTTTAGGATGAACTTGAAATCTATTGTGGGCGGAAAGATTACAATGGTCGTGATGAGATTGTTGACATTGATAACGAAATATTGGACAATTATATGCCCGATGATGTCTTGGGGTTAGAAGTGGTACATATTTTTAAAGATCATTTGTATCATTTGTTTGTTTATTTATTTTATATTGTTTCCCGAATCTATTGAATATATAATTGTGCACCATTTGTTTTAGGAACATGAACTCTATCGTGGGCGGAAAGATTATAAAGCTCGTGATGAGATTGCTGAGGTTGATAGAGAAATGTTGGACAATTTTATGTCCAAGGATGATTTGGGGTAACGAATTTTGTATGTTGTATTTGTCTTCATCAATAAAAAATTATATCAAGGAATGATTTTAAATACAATACGGCAATTTTATGGACAACTCGCATATATGCGATCGATGGAAGGTGCATTTGTGGGCTACTATTTGGTGAAAAACATTCTGGAGATACCATAGATTTCTACATGATCACTCTATCTAGACATTCCACTTCAATCGGATATGAGATTTGCTACATTTCAACAATTGTACAGGTATGGTTAACGCATACTATTTTGTTAACTATTATGTATCAAATCAATGATTACATATATTATATATATATCTATATATATATATATATATATATATATATATATATATATATATTCAATAAAAACTACTTGTACTTCTTATACATCGTTCTATGTTTCATCGGTTGAAATACTTAGAATTGTTAAAGACATTAACTTTTTGAACATCAATGACATTAATTATAAGGAGTTGATGCATAGCATGAATTCAATGTGAAAAAATATATTGGAGAAAATAAATGATAACAATTTCTTGACATATCGATTTATTCTTATACCGATAAACAGAGATTGTCATTGGTTCCTCCTAGTTCTAGACACAACCCTTAAATAGTTTTTCTACTAGAACTCAACAATGACCCCAGATACAAATCGGTTGTGAAGAAAATTTTAAGTTCTTATTTTTCAACACGTATTTCTCCTATTTATTTATTTTGGTTAAAAACTTATGAAATAAATATTGTAGGTTGAGTTTTACAGCAAATATTTTTGTGTTAAGTTGGGGATTGTATTGCCTACCGCTTTTGAAGCGGTAAAATGCCAACAACAAGACGGTATCGTGGATTGTGGTGCATATGTATTTTTTGGGATGAGTGTTATGCTAGAGGCACTCAATGGATGTGTAAATATGCAGAGAGTTGCTCTATGGATGCGGTTCGAGCACGCATTGCGTGCGCATTGCTGAATCATAAAATTGACGATCTTGTATTAGGCCCTTAAAGTAACCTCATGTATTTATTTTTAGTCACTTTTGGAAGATGAACCTACGTACAATATTAGTACAAACAAAGGTAGATGTTAGTATTTTATTGTGTCGAATTTAGTAGTTTGGATGTTTTTTTTTTTTTTTTTTTTTTGCAAAAATGAAAGTGAAAATTTATGGTATCACTCATTATTGAGCAAATTATACGTCATATTTGAATAACTTATTCCAAGTTGTCTCGCTTATTACGTCTCTCCTATGGTTGGTCTTGTTCATTTTTACATACAATACTTATGCATCCAACACTTGGTACACATATAGGTGACTGATAGTATTTTGTTACGATAGATGTGGTACTTAGGAAAGTTTGAAGAAAATTATAATGTCAAAATCATTGACCACCGCTATACATTATTTAAATTAGATATTTAAAGTTATACGTTGAATTCTTATTATATAGCTACAACTTGTACAACATCGACCATTTATGTTTTAAGAAAAGTTTGCACTATGTATTAACAATATATTACTAAATCATATACCAAGTAATTTTGAACGTGTACTAAAATATTTAAATAGATTTGATATGTATTGACATTGCTTTCGTAATTTCAAAAAACTAAAAAAAGTACCAATAAACTCTTTTAGTACATGATTCATAATTTCGTACAGTAAAAAATACCAATACTCTCCCTTAGTACATGTATCCCATATTATTAGTATTTTTCATCTTTATATATAGTACTTATGTGTTCAGAACTTAGTACACACGCAGGTGACTGGTAGCACTTTGTTGCGTCTGGTCTTTCGGAAAAATATATTCATAGTTGTCTGTTGAATTGCACTTGTATGACCTACACTAATGACTATGTGATATCTAGCTACAACATGTACAACATCAACCATTTATATTGTAAGAGAAGTTTGCACTATATAAACAACACATATTACAAAGTCATATACCAAGAATTCCAAATACACTCACTTAGTACATGAAATTGGTAATATTTTGTTATGTCGGATCTAGCACTTCGAATATGATTGAAAAATTAATGATATCGATGATCATTGAACAGCGCGATACGCTATTTGAATTAGTTATTCAAAGATGGCTTTGTATTCCACTTGTATGACTATATATATAGTTATAACTTGTCCATCGAAATCACAAACGACCATTTATTTTTTTAAGACAAGTTAAAACTATGTTATCAAAGAGATGAAATGCATATTGACATTACTTTCTTACTTTCAAAACCCACAAAAATACAAATAGATGCTCCTTAGTAAATGTCTTGCATATTGTCTGTATTGTTCATCATTATATGTATAAACGCATGGGACAGCTAGTATTGTTTTGTGTCGTGTCCAAAACTTGACGATTTATTTTAAAATTAATGTCAAAATTAGTATCATTGACCCCCGTTATATATTATTTCAATTGATGTCCATATTGAATTATTGGAACAATAATATGGGGTAAGTTACTAATAGTCAAATTTTAACATGATAAAAAATGACATGAAATTTGATAATACCAATATTTATTTAATATGTTCGTTTAGTACGATCTGCATATACACTTAGTACTATGCTGGTACACATGCAATAGAGTCATGTGACATAATGAGTACATGCAAACTACTATATGAAAACAGTTGACTGCATTTTTCATTATGGGACATACATTCACTGATGTCGTTTGTTACAAAAAACAATAACACAAATAAACATTAGTAAACAACTTCGAACAATCAATTACAAAAGATCCAAAATTAATAAACATTAAAAAATAACAATACATCAGAAAAAACATAAAAAGTGTATAAATATTTCAATACATGACACCAAAGGCATTAACAACAACAAGGCTTAGATGATTGCTTGTTTACAAGAGCGACGGTTATACCACACCGTTTACACTTAGTAACACGAGTCTGAACTTGTGAAGGAATTCTTTGAGTTCTTCTACGACCCGCCTGAGATCTCACATGAGGTGCATTAATGACATCATCATCATCATAATCTTCATTCCAAAAATCCATATCAAAGGTAGGAATAGGGTTTAAAATTGGTTGGTAAGTTTCTTTGTACATATCAATCTTATAGTAACGATCCATGTAATCATATACCGAAAGTCCTTTCGAATCGATACATACACAAGCATGCTTGCACAGTATCTTTTCGATCTGCCATGCTCTCCAAGAACAAGTCCATGCATGAAAATCTACACCATATGATTTCTCCTTTTCAATGACCTCAAAATTCAAAGTGCCAAACCTATCAATCCTTAAAGTACATGTGGTCGTATAATTTAGTGATATCTTTTTCTCTTGTTTGGGGCAAACTTCTCCAACCATCGCATATGAGTCTTCTCGTCGATCATGCATAAAATTCATTATTTGCTTGCGAATGTGATCGACCATAGTTACAACGGGCATAAATCGGGCCTGTTTCATCCAACCATTCCAACATTCTGCCAGATTATTATTTATCACGCCCCATCGATTTTTAGGAAATAGTGAATTCGCGCAACATTGCGACTTAGATCTCATAATAATGTCCTCAGCAAGAGGCATTGAATCAAAAATATTCTTAATGTCGAACTTGTACTCTTGCATTGTAGGAGCATAAACAACTTTTTCCAAGACATAAGCCTAATTAGTCTTGTTATGTAAAGGGTATGTCCTCAAAACCTGTATTTAAAAGTAAATAATATTGCATGCTTTGTTACGGATCATGTTACTGTTGGGGATCGATGCATGTATACGCAGCGGAAAATAAAAATTTAATCGAACTCAATGTTCAATCACATGCATAAATCAATTAATTGAACGTACCTTAACGCTTCCGCCATACACATGGTAATTTTTCATATTTTAATCGAAATTAAATAAAATGAAAAACAAAGACTAGCATGCTTGCATACGACATCATGAAATCGAAAACATACATTCTTCATATAATTGTCATGCTCACAAATTAATTCAAATAATCCAATTACGAATTAATTCGCAGGGGTTTTCGATTTTACCTCTTGAAGCGTGAGATTTCGACGAATCGAAATCTATAAACTAAGACAGGTACAAGCTGCTATTAAACAACTCCAAGGCTACGAAAAACCGACCGAACAGCAGCTGGTCCGATCTGATCTCGACGGCGGCACATGAGGTGCAGCGGCGGCGGCGCGTGGCAACGGCGACGGCGCGTGCGGGGCTGGCGGTGGTGGAGTTGCGTTCTTCCTCTCCAATTAGGTTTCACCTCGTACAACTAGACCCACTCTAACTGCAGAACTAGATACAGAAGAGATAGAAAAACAACGGGAATAAAGACGAGGAAGAAAAGAGAAGAAAACGGCGGCGACAGAGCGGCGGCGCGACGGCGGTGCGGCGGTGCAGCGGCGGGGCTGCAGCCGTGAGGCGGAGGACGGCCGTGCTTCATGCGGCTAGGGTTTGGGGCTGTAAAAAACTGATCTTAACTCATCTTATGAGTTGTATTTATACTAGGGTTCATAACCCTCATGGGCTTAGGTCATTGGGTTTGACCCACTGATCCATTAAGCCGACCCTATCGTCGGCCTCGTTTCTTACAAACGATCGTCCACAAAATTATTACAAAATTATATTTGTGACGAGCATAAAGTCCTCGTCGATACGCGTGCCTCTTTGAAATTTTCAATTTCCAAAATTGGAAACTTCTAATTTAGTGGACCTGCTAAATCGGGAAACTTCCCAATTTAGAAAGTTCACTAAATTTCCGCATATCTCTTTCTCTCCGTTTATTCCAACTCGTAATCCACAATTACGAATCTTAGATTCAATCATATTGACATCCAACTATGCAAAGATTAACACATTAATCTATGCTTGTTGTTTTTCAAGGATCCATGTTACACGAGAAGTGTGACCCTCAATGGTTCAGGTGTAAGCTAGCCGTGGGCTCACAACTCTTTGTGATTCGAACAACACATTGTTCTTATACGAACTCCTCCCAAGAGTCCCGATTAGAGTAAAACTCATTTTACTCAATCGCCGATCAAATCGGTGCCCAACAAATCAAGATTGGCGTCTAGCAACTACGCATCATGATTCCCTAGATACAATGAAGTGCCTGCAAGAACCTTGTGATATAGTTAACGTACAGTACGATCCCTTTTCAGCAAATGTCCCGATTGAACTAGAGGTATTGGTCCACCGAGACCTCTTATTAAGTTCAATAACCGTGCGAACGTTCTAGGTGTTATAATCCCTTCGTGTGTGACTTAGAGAAACACATTTCCCTAATCACCCCACTATCAACTCCGGCCGGAGATTCCATGGATTACAAACCGACAGAACACACAGGACATCCATGACTACTCAAATGCTCGAATCCCCTACTACAATGCACAAACTTCATACTAGATTTCGGACTGCACGAACGTTGGCCCTTGGAGCGGTCCGCGGTGGGATCAGGGACAGGTCACGATGCAGTCGGTCCTCTAGTGAAGTCACGGTGATGTCGGGTCTGAAGGACTAATGGTGCACAACTGTATCATAGAAACCTTTTACTCGATGAATGGGAACCACTTATAGATTTCTAGGCGAGGGAGTTCAGTGAACTCATCTAATATGAGCACCCACTCAAG